CAGTATCCGATTTCACCGAAACACTTTCTCAACTGTATGAGGAACACGCAACTGCCCTACAAACTCTAGTGTCCAATTATCGCAAAAAGAATGCTGAGCTACGCAAAGAAAGGTAAGTTTGGTCCTCACATTTCATCCAATTTTGCAATAATTTTGATGAGAACCGGGGAATGGGGTGCAGACCAGCCTGCCACTTGGCCATTTTTCAGGCATGGGAAACATTCCTGCAAGAGGCCGAGACGGATTCGCAGGCCTGCAACGATGTGGCCAGTGTCCTCTCCCGACAGGTGAGTGCTTATAAGGGTTTATTTCTGGGCACAAAGCCTACAGAAATACATTTTAATGACAATTACTCCATTGATTAAATATCCACTTTTAACTAGCACTAAAACAGTAAACCCATTCATTTTTTTTATTCAGTAAATCAATGCAGAATTGTAATATTTACGTACATTTTAATTCTGTATAAATTGAACAGTGATTTTCCTAAATAATCATTTTTTTATCTGGTCAATATAATAATATAGCCAATAATTATATTCATATATGTATGAATACCGCGTCAATCCATTGAGCCAACCACCAACAAATTCCCAATTTGCATCATAAAAAGTCGACTATAATTATATTTAACTAGGGGCGTGCCCGCTGAGGGACCTTGGGAAAAAGACATTTGTAATTGGAGTGCCGAATAATGTTAATTTTTCTCTTTGTTTGCTTTTGCATTAAATATTAGTTTTTCACGATGACTTGCCTGGTTGTCTGAAAAAAATGTACATACATATGTATCCCTAAATTAAAAAACGTTTTTAATTTTCTAACCGAAACCGCAGGTGTCGCGACCAATGCTGGATAAATCGTTTCATCGTAAAGTTCAAAGCCGCAAAATATTTACACACAGGGAGTCTTTTGAGACTATTATCGCAAAGACTGAAGAGAAGCTGTCAAAGGTGAGTGAATGGGCAATATTTCTAATTAGTAGATCCCTGGAAAAGGCTTTGCCATTAGGCTTTAGTCCGCCTCAAAGATATGCACCATTGCAACATGACGCATACGCATTTGTTTCTCCTCTTATGGCGTTGTGTCTGCATTCTGTTTACCCATGGCTATTAGCCATAAATTATTTTTCGAGATGTGTACCAGCCCAGCTCTGATTTTCCCTTCCAGTGCCGGATGGACTACAAGCAGTGCCACATGGCCCATCGACAGAACCCCAGCCAGCACACGCTCACCGAATACATTGATGCGCACAATGCATACGTCCAGCAGTTGCATGCCACCAATGGCATGCTGGAGGCCTACCACGGCGACACTCTGCCACACCTAATGCAGGAGCTGGAGGAGATACACAATGACCTGTCCGCCATTGTTTCCGATTCGCTGTTGCAGGGAGCCGACGTAATTGCCAGCAAGGTGAGTCTGAGAGAGGGAATCTGGAGGTGCAATGATTTATAGCCGCAGCAGGTGGTTGCTGCTGTTGCTGCTACAGTTGTTGGGTAATGCGATGGTTCTGGTAATTGTGCCTGGCACCTGGAATGTGGGCTAATTTTTGTGACGACTTTTGTTTCCTGGGAAATAATTAGTGCACGATTATAACAATTACGCACAGTCGCAATTTTAAATAGTAATTTTCTTAATGGCTACAGCAATGATGGGCAGAGCAGGGGAGTGTCCGACACAGGGCACAGGACAAAGTTCCTGCGTAAGTTGCGTGTGGGAAAGGAGTCGTAGTTGTTTGAGGTCTACCACTGTCATACTTATGTAAATATACAATAACATGTTACCGCTACCATTTGTTCAGGCCAGCGACCAGGCCAAGCGGTACATCAATCTGACCAACCAGTGCAGTGCGGTCTCGCCGCCTCAGGATCTGGCCAACTTTGTGCGCCTCCTGGCCCAGCCATCGCAGGCCCAGAAGGTTCCGCGGCGGCCCTTTGCTCCACCCCAAGGCGAGCCAGGCGAGGAGACGGGCGAATATAATGTGAGTACAATGCGAACAACTTGTCTGCGGCATGTGGTTGATGGGACGAGAGTGTGTGTTACAGGAGATGACGCCCAACTTACGGAACGAGCTCGTCTTTGACCGCCACTCCACGCTGTCGCACCGCTCGGCCCTGGAGTCACTGAAGCGTGAGGCCATAGAATTGGAATTGCAGATACGTCAGCTGCAGGTGAGCGCGTCCACCATTAAGACTAATGCATTAAGCTAATGTGTGCGTTGTTATTTGTTGATCATCCATTGCGCTGTAGGACGCCATTGATGCACTGAATCGGACACAGACTCGAGGCATTGAGGGCCAGCTTTACAACAAGGTCAACGAGCTGCAGGAGGATTTATCTATGAAGAAGTTTGACTTACGCGCCAAGCAAATCCATTTGGCGGCCATACGGGCTCAGGTGAGTAGGCTGAGAATATAACGTTAGAACAAGAACCCAATTTGCAGGGGAAGCCTAACCATTAATTTAAAAAAGAGTCAGTTCGGTTCAGAACAGTCTGCTTGAAACTTCTAAGTAATAAGGTGTCAAATGTAATGTTAAATGTAAGTTTCGTACTTTTAAAAGCTTTTACAAGCTTTAAGCCATACTTAAAAGCTCTCAAACGCACCACAAAAGCTTCTATGCAAAGCTTATTTTGACATACGTTTTTCAATGATGTGGCAAGGCCGCCATCTGTCATTTTGACGAACCTGTTGCTCGAACCCTCGGCATTTGCCCTTGGGTTCTTGCACGCTTTTGAGTACACATGAACTGGCGCTCAAATGTGGGTCAAACAGCTGAGTGACTCTGTGACACTCGTTCCCTGCGCATGTGACCAAACCGTGTCCCTCTCTGGCTCTCTCTTTGGCTGTATGAAGCAAAAATACTTGGGTTCATGTCGTCCTTCGCTTAGTCCTGCGGTAGATTAGCTTGTGTGTGGTCAGTGCGGATATGCGTGCATGCTGATTCCTTCGTTTGGATAAAACGACAATTCCCCTCGTCGATACCAGTCGTCTGAAAATCGCGTTTAATGTGTGATTTCCCAGTTAATTTTGTTATTACAATTGTTCAGCAAACTCTTATTGTTTCTGTCTAGTGGTGGCTACTGTTGTTGGATTGGAACAGCCCAAGCAAAAGCCCAAGCAAGCGCAAACAACTCTGCCCTAGCTCGCCTGTGTACGAAACAGCTGTTCAAAGGCTCCGAAGAGCTAGAGAGAGCAGGTGCATGCGTGGCGTTGCCAGACCATTTGGTGGAGGAGCCCGATGCTGTTTATAAGTAACGTGCAGCGCTGGCTCCGAGTCAGTCACGTGCTTGCATTCCGACGAATTTGATACGCGGGTGGCCGTCGTCTCAGTTCTTCTACGCTGCTCCTGCCGAGTGATCCGTTCAACAAATTAGCCGTAGCCGTAGCCTTAGCCGTAACCGTAACCGTACACGTAGCCGTCGTCGTTAAAGCCGTCGTAGTCGTAGTCGCAGTCGTTGCGGTCGTTGCGCTGAGGTTTGATTGGCTGCCAATTGCAACGGGATAATAATGCCAGGACTTCGCTTTAGTTAGCAAACAACAAAACACAAAAACCAGACAAATTGGAACTAGAGTTAACCAGAAAGGCGTTGTCCTCATTGAAAATTTTTGTAATTCCCAACCACAGACAATCTATATCTATATATCCATAATTTTAGAGTGCAAAGTCAGGCAGGCTTTTTCTGAGGCAGGCGAGAGATTTCTTGAGGCGAGTTCTGTTTTGATAGCCCCAAAAATTTAATTGAATCAATTTCAGCGTAAGTAACCACCCATTGACGATCAATAGTATTGCCTCAACTAGTCGAGGGTCTATGTTAAATAATTTAGCTTTATTAACCAATCACGCATTCGCACCGTGCGCCCAAAAGAATTCGCTCTCAAAAACAAAAACAAATCGAATCGGATCCACTCAATTCGACTGAAATCAAATCTTATCAAATCAATTTAATGTAGCACTGTCAGAGTTTCTCATAATTAATTGCTTGCTTTAAAACTTTAAAACAAATTTTAGCTGGTAGTCGAAATTCGCGGCGAAAGTTCACACCAATCAGTCTATCAATCAATCCAGCTTGTAAAAATTCTTTAGCGCCAGAAAATACTATTTATCGATACCTACCAATCTATGTTACAATTCTACAACAAACTCTATTCTATGTACTGTAAATAACCAATAACCAATTCTTTGCTAAACTAGAAGTAGTTAACTTATCTGTAGCACCAAACTGCAATAAGAACTATGTAAAAATCCATCTGGAGCTAGAGGCTCAGCTCGCTTTGCATTTTGTCATTTCGTGTCCTTTGTGCTTGTACTACACCTCGTGCTACACCCCTCTTGTACACCATCCAACACAACACAATACTCCCCCGATGCTGAGTGGGGTAGAACACCGTTTGTGAACGGCACCGCGAACTGCAATCACTTAACAGTATAAGAGACAGAATTAAATAGAACATTTAACGCAACTATCAAGATCTAAGTCCACACTAAAACACCCATTCCTATAAATACACACATAATCGTATATACTATACACCATGCGCGTTATCGTACTGAAAAAGAATCGCCCTAACAAGCGCGGCACGCCCACGGCAACAGCGGCAGCTCCGTCGCGTGAGCCGCCGAAAAAAACGGCGTACGCAAAAGTAAGAACAAATTCGATATATTCAATATTTGGTTTCAATATTAGCCGTTTTTATGGGATAGGAGGGAATGGAATGGCCAGCATCGAGAGCATGTCATCCCTTTGTTTCCTGTCCAATTTGCCAGTGCAATCAATTTTTGAGCTACCCTGCTCGATTTATGCAATTTTAAACGCCACAACTTTTCTTACCGCGTATTCTTGTATTACATCGAATGGAAGTGCAATTACCTCGTACTCTTATCAGCATGTTTTTGTAGCCATCTTTAAAAATCTATACAAAATTAGCTCAAAAATTGGTTGTAGTGGCCTGGCATGATATATCTTATCTACGATTATTTATAATCTTTATGTTTTAGTCAGAGTTATATTTATTTCGAATATTTAAATCCAAGATATTGCCATATGTACTAGACTTTAAGAATTAGCTCAATTTGTGTGAATGTTGTGCTTGGAATTTTTGGATAATTTAAATGGGAAGATTATTTATTGTGGAACTTTTATTGTCTCTATGAGTCCTCACTGGCTGTGTAAAGCACTTCGAATTCCGAGGGGCTGCCGTCGCTTTTTCGCTGTACCTTCCAGTAGAATGATAGAACTACGAAGCCAAAATATGCCTCTAGAGCTGGAAATACTTTTTGTTCAGTCAGTCAATAACAAAAGCGAAGCTAATACGAATAGAGATCATGGTAAAGATGCACTTACATACAGACAACGCCTCTAAGATCAAATGCTCAACAACCAAATTGATGAACAGAGTATTGAGCATGAACATGAAAACCAAAAAAACTGTAAGGTAAAGCCAAAGCAATAGGCAAGTCTTGTGCTCCTGCAGATAGTAAAATAAATATTTTAGTCTGACCATAAACGCATCGAATTACTTACAATTCTAGCTCCTATAATTAGAAGAATCGACTTCAAGACAGCTACCGTTTCGAGGGCCATGGTAAAATAGTGATTGCCAGCGCCATGGCTCGAATGGGGGTCCATGGGATCGTCTTCGATCGCGCGTGTGACAAACTCTGCCTCTGTTGTGACCCCAACAGCAGTTTCAATCTCCGATTGATTGACCAGATTGTAGCACTGGTATATCTGCATAAGTCCAAGAAGAGCCTCGAAAAAGGCTATTAGCTTGCATCCCATTTTCAGATCGAAGAAATAGCAGCAGCTCTTCAGTCCGCCCATTTCGTTGGTGCTGCGTCCACGAGCACCGTCCATCAATGATCCCGCCTGCGCCGTCGGTCCAGTGGGAATTTGTGGCGCGCTCAGCAAATCTCGAATAATCGACATTTTTCAACAATTACAATGTGTTTCTTACGGATAGATATAGATTGTGGTTAATGAGATTCCCTTAAAGAAAAACGCTGATGAATGAACGTTAGCTGCCAGCCTACTTAGTGAACTTTTTCTTTTGTTGAAGAGATTTTGATTAAGTTTTTTGTCGGCTTTCGATTTCACTTCGATTTAAGTGCACAAGAAAATCCAATTTGATTTATTCGCTTCGGATGGCAGAAATAAACGAAAAAGAGAGAGAGCGAGCACGAAATGGAGGAAAATCTAAAACAATTCAATTTTCTAAGTGTGGCAGCCAAAAAAGGAATAATCAAAGAAAAAACTTGTTCTGCGCTTCCCCCGTTCTGGCCCAGGGAACTTGTTCAAGTTTCTGCCCATTTCGAAGGCACAATCAGTTGCCCATAAGCGAAATTCCTTTCCTGATTTCCTTTTAAAAGCATTTCTTGAATTGTCTTGACTGAGTCGGGAGGCACTTGAACTTGCTCTTCCATCTCCCTGCCGCCCTGCCACCCTGCCTGTCGAAAGTATGCCTTCAGGCTCTGCCCGCTTACTCCAATTTCGCTTTGGCTTTGCCTCCTCTTTTGGCCAAGGTTGAGCCCAGGGCACAGTAATGTTTTCCATTTTATTTATTGTTGTTCAGCGTGTTGCACTGACAACTCTCTCGGCGGGGGCATAGCTGCAGGTTGAGCAGTTGCATCCCAGCCATTTTTTAATCGAATTTTCTACAAATTACGAGTATTTCATTTCAATGGCGTCGAAACTCTTTCATTTAATTAATCAAAAGAAATCATATTATTTCACGAAATTCAAATATATGTAATAATAAAAGGGACAGAGGCTGGGCCAAAGGTCATAAGCTGTGCTCCTAAAGGGTTAATTTTAAATTTATTGCCCTGCCCTTCTTGCTTATTCGCCCAAAATCCTTGTCGAGGACACTCAGACCTCAGACCCCATACGCGTAGACGTAGGCGTAGGCGTGGGCAAACACCAATTGTAGGGCAGGAAGGCTGAGAGCTAAGAGGAAGCAACAAATTTGCACGTTAACCACGACCAAAGCAACAATCCTGAATTTATATGTGTGTGCGTGTTTTTCGTATTCGTTGCGTGTGCTTGTGTGAGTGACACAGTGATATTTCTCTACGACTCTGGGGCCCAACGCGTTATCTGAGCCACAACGCTCAGGGTTCAGTCAGGCCTTGCCCGGACTCTACTTTATTTTATTGCTTTAATAAATATGAAATGCGCTTACTTTTTTGCCACCTTCGGCATTCGTCACTCGGCATAGTGTTCCGCGCAGTTTGCCCCTCGGGTGCCTTCAATTAGTTTTCCAAATTGAGTTTTTTCTTTATGACAATCCTCACAATCTTAATCACACAATTCGACGGTCCCAAAACCAAATGAATTGATGGCAGCTCCCTGAATAGGGATACGAGTATTTATATGAACATGTTTATACATATGCATATTTAGTTCCATTGGAATGAAGGCGCACAACATTTTCTCGAGCATACATTTTAATTAATCATAAAAATGTGGCCATAAAACGCCAACAGGTCCTGCCTGCCATTTTTTTGTCGTATATTCCATTTCACAACACTCCTCTCCATTCAATGCCCAGCTGCCTAGCCTAGCAGCTCCTGGAATTCATATTCATGTTTAATAATAAATCACAAGATGCCGTCGGGGCTGGAGCTAGGTCTGAGGCTGGGGTTTGTGCAGGGGCCAGTTGTGGTTGCAGTCGTGGTCTACCACACCCATACGCAAGGCGAGCAGTAGAGAGAAAGAGTGAAAGTCAAATGCCAAAGGAAGCCCAAGTAAAATGGCGCGGGAATAAAAGGATTTGCGGCTAAAGGCGAATTTAATTAAAGACATCAGCGCCGCCACACAAAGGCTGAATCTGGCTCAAACGCAGCCTCATTTTAATTGCCTTCTTTTTTACCTCGGCCCAGCTGCTACCGTTCATTATAAGTACATACATATGTACTGGTATGGTCTTATTGCACGACTTCGACTACGACTGAACAACAATGGGAATTCATTTGCAAATTTTGGTATCAATTAATCAGCCTTTCCATTCTCCCGTTCAGCGCAATCGTCATTTTGTTGTTATGTCATGGTCGTATCAGAAGGATGTATGCTTCAACTAATTTTGTGAATGAACACGATATGGAGGGAAAATGTTTTGCAGTTTTGCATTTCGTTGACGCCATCGGGAAGGGGGGGAGAGGGTCCTATTCGCTGGTCCCCTATTGTTTCCACTGATAAATATTTAAGTGAAATCCTGCCAGAGAGGGCATAGGAGCCAAAGGGGATATGGAGAACGGGATGATGCCTTTATGGTCGTTTGGGTGAGATAGACAGACAGATCTGAGCTGCTGTTTGGAGATTTCAGATTTCGTTGACGCATGCCACACAGAGTACGAATGGCAAAAAACACTTTTCTTCTCTCTGCCCTTTTCTCTCTCGCTCTCTCTCTCTGATTGTTGGCACGCGCCATGGGTTTTCCCTCTGCATGTGTGTCTGTGTGTCTGTGTGTGGCGTTCATTAAAATTTCATTTGAAAATCATCAGAAATGCTGCTGTAATCTCTTCTAGTCATTTGTTTTGCCAGCCACGAGAACTTTCCATTGTCTTTCCCCCACCAGCCACGCCTCCTAGGTCCACTCTTTTGGTCGAAAACGAAATATTCGCCTGTCAGCAGGAGCCAAGTTGATGGAAATTTGTTAAATTGGTAGAAAAAGTGCAAGGACAGACAAATCGCAACTTGATATGCTTGTATCTTGAATATTTTATTGCCACGACAATTGGATGTGCAGAGAACTTGCCAAAGTAGCGACTACTCTTTACTGGCCATTGAAAATGGAAAGAATCGAGAATAAATGAGGAACAGAAGGTTCGAGTATTTGCAGATATTTTATTAAGATTTCACTCTTTTTATATTGCATACAAATATATTAGATTATATAAAATTAAATATGAAGAATGAATCGATGTTTCAAGTTAAGCTCAAAGCCCTGTACGATTATGACGGATGGGAGAATTCCCCAACGGCTAACCAATTGGCTTGAGTTTAAGTACTGAAAGATTAAGATTTGAACTTGAGCAGAAAAAATTGATATATTATCGTTTCAGAACATTTAATGTCAAAGCTATTCTGAAAATTTTCTTTTTTGCTGTATTACTCTAAGATCATGTTAGCCGCTTGGAAACGATTCCCAAGTAAGTATTCTATGCTGTACTAAGTGTGTTCTTGCTTGCTATCGGCAGAGTTATGCTTTGACCCAGATTCCGGGACCTCACTCAGGCCTCAACACCTAATGGCTTTGAAATACGCTCACCCACTTATAGCAATCCTTCAAAGTGATGGCTGTTTATCTGACATTTATAGTTTATGCTTCATGTTTTGCTCAAGAAAATATACGCAGCGTAGATACGTACACAAAAAAAAATAAATAAAGAGCACTGGGAAAAGTATAGATGGAAAAAGTAAAAGCAGCAATGATAAAACTAGTAAAGCATACAACATTGTTTGACTTTGTGGACTTGGTGGGGTCTAAAAACGTTTCTGCTTTGTCTGCTCCCTGGTCCTACCGGGTCCCACGGCACCACGCCCTTGGACCACCGCAAAGAATTTTTGGCAGTTAACCCGTAAAGATGATAAATGCGAATGTCTTTGCCGTTTGAGTTTGAGTTGTTGCAGTACCTACTCAAGAAATTTATGGCGATGCGCAACCAGAATTGGGCCCCAGGCAAAACGAGAAAAAAACGTCTACGGCGAAATTGAAAAGGCTCAGGAAAATGCCTGAACTCTCGCTTTTCCTCTCCTCTGGATTGACAGGCCAGCTGGCAGGGTGCCCAGCTCTGGACCCTGCCCCTTCCGAGAGTCAGGCAATGGGAAAACGTTTAATTGCCGAACATTAATCTTGAGGTTAAGCTGCCTCCGTTAGCCCTGAACTGTCAATTGTTCCTGTTTTGCGAGTGTTTGCGAGTGAGTGTGGCTCTGAGTGCGGCCTGTGGCCTGTTCTTGTGGCTTTTTTCGACTGCTTCTGCATTAATTTTGTCATTTAGCAATTAACTTTCCGGCTGGGTCGCGCCACGCGTCCCATCGCCCTTACGTCGCCTCGCCTCGCCCCGTTTTGGCCCAGCCACGGTGACAAATTCGTGGCTGGCCGCCTGTAAATATTGATGATCCGTTCCACTGGGAGGGCCTGGCTTCCTCTTCCACAACCAGCAGCGATTCGGGCCGTCGTTGGAGCGTTTCCAAAATGATGTTCGAGCTTATGCCGCCAACTTGCAGCTGTCGCAGTTTTGATTGAAATATGAGCCTGAAATTGCCTTCGTAGTCAGAAAGAGTCCACTCTACGCAGCCGAGTTAATTAATTTCTACGTTGACATTTCTCTTTATTGTATATTTAATGAGTGCATTTCGGTATCGGCTCCGGTTCAGGGCCCTGCTCTGAGTTAGTTGAGCAACTTCTCACACTGAGACAAAATATTCCTTCCAACGTTGATCCGGGAGGATCAAAGCCATTTGGCCTTTGCATATTCAATAAGTAGAACTTTTGCCGCAACCAAAATACAGAGAAGAGAACAACAAAAAATCAAAAAAATCATATCGCTTACGATGAAAATAATCTATACCCGTCTCTTTTCTTCATTGCTATCTTTCTGTCCCACTCTCTCTGTATCTCTGTATCTCTGTCTCTTTCTTTTTTTCTGTCTCTCGTGCAGATGTGTTTGGTTTGCTGAACTGCATTCTGCCTTCAAAGGAAGAACTTTTGCAGTATTTGCTCGGCACTTGTCTTTTATTTTGCCTTACACTTAGTTCTGTTACCAGCTCTGTTCGGTTTCCCCTGTCTACTCTCTTTCTGCCTTTATTTTCCGCTCTTTCAATTTTTATTTATGCAAATAAGTTTCGCCTCCATTGTTACCAGCCGCCAGACCCGACTGGCAGCCAACGTGCTTGTTATCGCATAAGGATGTTGTTACAAGTTTACTTCTCATTCTCTCCCA